AACTGAGTTCTGTAATACCCCTAATTTTAAAAGGATAGTCCTGATATTTATTTTATTGTTTAAATTTATATTTTTAATTTTTAAGTGTATTTGTGTTTGTTTCATTGATTTAAATTAGTTGTTTTTGTTTAATGGTTTTAATTATTGCTTTAATTATATTATTATGTTAATTGTTATTTAATTGTTTTTGTTTTAATTAATGGTGTTAAGTATTGATTTAATGTTATGATTTTATTTAATTAAATGTAATTTTATTTTGTTGTTAACGTAACTGTTAGGGTTGGTTGTATATATAGTATACACATAAGTAGCCGACATAAGTTTTAACCTAGATTTCTCTATGGGCCGTGTAAATCCAATTAGGGTTGAGAGAGCCTAGGATTAGTATGGCTTATAAATACTCATCTACAGTGTCTGCCTAGGGTTTTAGAAGTATAGTACGCCATAGGAAGACACAGAAAGTTTGGGGACGTCTGAGTAATCAACCAAGTGAAGAAACAGAGATTCGTCGGAGATTATAGACGGACGTCGGTGTAAGGCAAGTTCTATCCTTACTCTCTCCCTTAGGCTTCATGTTCTTTGCATTCCTAAATAATTCTAGGATTGATTTAACAAATTAAAACGTTTTCTGTTTGTGCTAAAACTGAAACTTATCTGTATGTGTTGTATGCTTGTAAACCTGTTAAAACGTGAACTGTTATTGCATAATTCTCTATTCAAACCTAGGTATGGAATGTAATAAAGACTTAAACATGGACTGGGAACATACTGGGATTGGGTTACAGTGTCTGGAAGCCATGACAGTGAGGTTTAAAGGCTGCAGAAGTCATCAGAAGGAGAGAAGACGAAGCAGAGAGGGAGAGAGCCGACTCTCATTTGGAGAGAGCCGGCTCCCTTTGATGTGGAGGCGGCTCCCAAGTGTGGGAGCCGGCTCCAAGGTCTAAAGGAGGCGACTCCACATTTTGGGAGACGTCTCCTTTGGTGAATTTTTATTTTTCTACGTTCTCCAATCAGTTTTTACATGCAGTGGTTGATTCTGGAGCTCGCAGTTAAGTGCAGGGTTGAATATGGAAGGTCTAATTAATGTACATGGATAGATTAAAGCTTCAGACGTGGTATTAATTAAGTCTACTTGCTTAGAAAAGCTTGGACATGAGGGATTTAATCGGGAAGTTACACTGTGTTTAAATCTGTAAAGCTAGTAATGTTAACTCTCTTTGAATTAGTAATTTTCTGATACGAATAATATAATTGTAACATGTTTCACTATATACCATGATCATGTATCTGAATTATATATGTGTAGGATGTGTTAGTGTTGACGATGTTAAGTTTTAAATTTAACATTAACTGGTTTTGTGAAACAACCAAAATTGAGCATGTATATATACATACTGTAATTCTGTCTCGATGCTTGCACTAATACTGTTAGTATCAACTGTTACAGGAATGGACTTTATTGAGGTTTATTTTAAATGTCTGTAATATCAACTGCTGAGAGTTGAATGAGAATTTGAAATAATCCTATCATTATATCAGATTTTATGGAATAACCTAAACTGAGTAGGTTTGTATATATACTGTGACTATGTTTATTGATGCTTACATTATGCCTATTAGTATCAGTGATGGAGATAAGGATTTGGTTGATGTTTACTTTAATTGTTGGTATTATCAACTGCTGGATGATTGGATAGTATACACCAGTATGGGATGGTGGTATACTAGGGATGGTTTGGTTTCAAAATACCAAAACCTACCTACTCTGGATTAAGAATTGGATTAACTAAAAGTTAAGTCCTATTGATTGTAGTGTCATGACAACGACTAGTTGAGTGGCACTACTAGGATACAGGATGGATTTTAAATATATTGTTATGGTACCTCGATATGAGCCTGAGTCTCAGGATCGACGGTTAGGGAGCGTATATGCATTGGGATGCATAGCTGGCTATGATGGTTGGAAGTGTACCCTGTTAGGATTAGGTACACATGCCCACCTCGTGTGCATTTTGTATGTTGCCTCTATTCAGGTTGAGACCGGCCTGTAGTCCAGTGAGAGTCCTTTAGTGTGAATATATATATATATTTACAGACTAATAGCTATTGTTGAGTTGGTTAGGATGTACATGCGTATCGAGTCTTTGCTTGGATTGTAGTAGGTTAGAACTTGTTCGTGGGCCTAATCCACTTCTATTTTTCAGGTGTTCGACCGTTCCAGTCATAGGCTTGATCATGCTGAGCAGAGACCATCACTCATTCTTCCGACGACGTAAGGTTTCTCTCGATGGTTTACTTTGAATGTACTTGTAGTGGTTTCATTTCAGTTTGGATTTATTAGGGGTCCACTAGAGATGGATTCCCGAGTTGTTTAAACTATTAAAGGTTTTGGATCATTGGATTTAAGTTTTTATTTTAAAGGATTTCATTTTGGGTTCTTCCAGCTTTTATTTATTCTTATTTCATTTTGTATTCCGTATTCGTTTTAAAATATTAATTGTTTGATATTCTTTCGGGTTTGGGCTTGGGCCTGATCAACCCGTGTCTCGGATCCGAGGGATATCACAAGTTCTTCCAATAGTCCAATCTTCCAAGATGTCTTCATCCTCAATGATCACAACATCCTTCCCACGACTTTCACTATAATATGTCAATGGAGTGAATCATGTCGAAGTAGAGTTGATTAACAATGAACTCCAAGTAGGACGATTGACAATGGGAATGTTGATCACGGGAGAAACATTACCCGTCGTAAAGGAGGGTTGCCCCTCCTCCATCGTTTCTGTTGTAAACCAACGAAACCCTAATAAACCCTACTCGCCACAGAATTGTCAGTAGAGAGAAAAAAGGGTAGGAAAGTAATTCCTTCAATTAACCCTATTGCGTAGTGATTATTAATTTGTGCAAGTATTATATGAATTTCTTATTTTTTTTATAAACTAAAATCTAATTGTTTAATTGAAAAGTTTTATAATTTTGACATAAATCTTATTTTTGTTTATTCAGGAAGTTTGATAAAAAGTTTCTTTAAATAACTAGTTTTTTTTTTATTTTTTATATTTAAATAAATTGGCAAAAGTTTAGATAAATATATTTTTGTATGAATATAATAAATAGTAAAATATTTTTGCCTACGTAATTTTTTTTTTTTTTTCCAAAAGTTCTATCCAAAAACTTAAAATGTTAGATAGTGCGTACCCATTTATTTATATATAATTACGCTCTCATTCGAATTGGGGAACAAATAGTTGTGAGAGACTTGTTGGTAAGACTGAAAGAGGTGGGGGACTTCCGGTTGGTAGAGGTGCAGAGGTGGTAGAGTTGGAAGGGGTAGAATTGCTCTTGGTGCTTATATATTTTTGGGTGGTCTTTTTTTTTTTTTTTTTTTTTTCAAAGTACAAAAATTTATATTGGTACTTATTAAACGGTAGTGGTATGGGGCCAGTTGATTGGGGAGATTGGGGCATGACAGTTGTTGTGAGGGATACATATGAGGTTAGTGTTAATGCTTTTGAGATGAGCATGACAGTTGTTGTGAGTGATCTTGACCTTCACCTACTTTGTTGTTATTTATTCTTTAATGTTTTGTGCATAGGTTGTGATTCTTGCGAATACTTGTGGTAGTGGTGGTGTTGAAAGTTCGTTGGGTCATGGTCGTATGCCAGTTGTAGGGAAGTTGACATGGCAGTGTACAGTGGTAGTAGGACAGCTTCTGATAGAGTAGGTATTGGTAGTAATGTGGAGAGGACAGTGGTTCTTGGTGGTCTATTCAGTTCAGTCATTCATAATTGAATATGCAGCTTTTTAAAACAAGGGTATTTTTGGTACAAAAATGCTGTACTACATGCTCGGCTCTCTGATTTAGGGGAGGTGCTAGGTGGGTTTTGGAATTCACCTGTAATTGAAACTATAGACAGTGTTAGTTCAAGTTTTAAATTTTATTTTTTTCAATTCGAATTCTAAATCACAAATTCAGTGCTACTAAATGCAACTTTAAGAGTAAATTATACAGAGTTTTTTCTAAGTTCTATAAAAATCGGAGTGTATTCTCTTATTGATACTGAAATTGTACAAGCCTACCTTATCATATAAAAAATTGTTTCATTTTTACCGTGACAAACTCAAGAAAGATTAACATAATTAATCCTAATATTTTATCATGATTTGTTAGAATTTTTCAGTTGGTAATGAACTTTCTCATTTGGATCTGTGAAGTACTAAACAAGCTAGCTATGAAATTTTTGGTGAATTACATTATTCTAGGGGAGAATCCATTGAAAATGTCCTACATTGTAGGGTTTGGAGCTGATTATCCAAATAGAATTCACCACAGAGGATCCTCCCTGCCGTCATTGGCAATGTTTGCAACCATTCTGACCCCTATTCATGGTCCGCGGACATACCGGAATTTTTTCTTTTCAGACGGTCAGACGGATTATAATCACTTGAAACTAGTCCAGTCTTGATAGAGAAATTATTAAATGGTCCTAAATCATTAGCATTTGATGGACCAGTTAAATATAAACTATCAGATTGAGAAAATGATCTCACAAAAGTATATTAATAAATTACAAAATTTAATAAATTACAAAATTTCATAATCCGGGAACTTTCATTGAATTAGTTCACTAAGTATTAAATAAACTACGACCATCTAATAATTTATCTAATGAGACATCTACCCATCCCAATTTAAATGCTTCAGTGGTTGGACTTTTGGCCTATTTAACTGGGGTATACATCACTTGATGGGGGTATCTCTCAATTTAAATTTGTAGCATTGTAAATACATTTATATGTTAATGTTAATCCTAGGTACATACCAACAAAGGTAAACATTTGGGGAAAGATTAATTTTGTAAAATAAGTGGGAACAGTCATTTTAAGGAAAATACAACAATTTTTACCCAACTGTGTCCAAGTTAATTTAATTTATGGTGCAGTGGCCGACACTATAAAGATTTCTTTTTCACCGTATTCGATCTTCTCCACCACATTCTTCTATCTCCTCTGTTCTTCTGTCTTTGGTTCTCTTCTTCTCTCTGTTTCCGTTTCGGATTTGGCTTTCTGACTGAAACAAATTTTCTTAAATGTTTTTTTGTAGTCACTATTTTCTTGTTTTGGATCAGTGAAAGAGAGATGAAGATTACCTATAAACACTCGTGCCACAGGCATAGCTTGAAACGCTACGGCTGGACCCTCGATTGGATTTTAAACCGCTACGGTAGATCAACTTGCAAAGGGTGCAGGGTGCAGGTCTCCAATGATTTCTATGGTTGCATAGGATGCAAGTATTGGGTCTGCAGATCATGTTATAAATTGCCGCCAGAGATCCGACACCCCTTTCACAAGGAACATCCCCTCACTCTTCTCTTTGAATCACCTTATAAGGGCCTTGGTGTTGAATGCAATGCGTGCTCCAAGAAGTGTATGGGCTTCATTTACAACTGTTCAGAATGTAAATTTGACCTGGGCGTTAAATGCGCTTCGCTCATTCCCACTACCAAAAATCACTCGGAGCAGCGGATGTTCTCTCACCCCCATCCGTTGATTCATTGCAATAGGGATAATAAAGATTTTGATTTTTCATGCTCCATGTGCCACCTACCCATACCCATCAAGGCCATCATCTATGTTTGTTTAGATTGCCCCGCTATCATGGGTGATTCATGTGCCCAACTCACAGATCACTTTTTTCCTGTTTTCGATCACAGTAAGAGAGAGAAGGAGATTACCTATAAACACAAGGGCCACGGGCATGTCTTGGAACGCTACGGCTGGACCCTCGAAGAGATTTTAGACTGCGACTATAGCTGTACTTGCAAAGGGTGCGGGATGCGGGTCTCCAATGATTTCTATGGTTGCGAAGGATGTGAGTATTGGCTCTGCAGATCATGTTATAAATTGCAACCAGAGATGACACACCCCTTTCACAAGGAGCATCCCCTCACTCTTCTCTTTGAAAAAGGTGATTCTTCCTGCTATGCGTGCTTCAACAAATGTAAGGGCTTCATTTACAACTGTTTAGAATGTAAATTTGACCTGGATGTTAAATGCGCTACGCTCATTCCCACTACCAAAAATCACCCGGACCAGCGGATGTTCTCTCACCCCCATCCATTGATTCCTTGCAATAGGGATAATAAGGATGTTGATTTTTCATGCTCTATGTGCGACCTACCCATACCCATCAAGGCCATCATCTATGTTTGTTTAGATTGCCGCGTTATCATGGATGAATCATGTGCCCAACTCATACAGCAGATCACACATGACTTTCACCCTCATCCTCTCGCTCTCCAGAATTTTCGTTCTCTTTTCGAGCATTTCTGCAACGCCTGTGGGGATTTTAAGAATGGTTTCCACTACAGATGTTCTGAATGTAATTTTATTCTGGACGTAAGGTGCGCTTCTCTGAAACCCAAAGCCATTGAAAACCAGCTCACATTCACCCACCGTCATGATCTGCTTCCCTGTGATTGTGATACCAAAGGGAATTTTAGTTTTCTCTGTTCTGCTTGTGCTATATCCATCGAGGATGGTACAGTCTATGTTTGTCTTGAATGCCAGCTTTTCCTACACAAATCATGCGCTGAATTGCCACCATTTATCAAACACCCCTTTCATTCTCCACACCGTCTTCAGCTCCAGGATAAAAAATATAGTGACCGTTCCTCATCATGCGCGGCATGTAAATGTTCTGTTTCAGGCTTCAAGTACTGGTGTGCCGAGTGTCACTTTGCAATAGATGTTGCATGTGCTTCGCTAAGCTACTCCACTTTCAAATTTGATCAACTTCACCACCATCCTCTTACTTTCTTCAGCCATAACAGGATTAGCGAAAATGAGTGCATTTGTGGACGTAGCCTAGGTTTGCCTTTTTTCCGTTGTGTGCCATGCGATTTCACTCTCAACTTGTGCTGTCTTCCCACATTACCACATACAATTAAACATAGCTGTCATGACCGACACTCACTCACCCTCACTCGTTCTCCCGTCCTTGACAATTCCTCTGATGATGAAGACTCGGAATATTACTGTGACCTTTGTGAAAAACGGAGAAAATACCGTGATCCAACTTATTACTGTGAGGAGTGCCACTATGTTGCTCATCTTAGTTGCGTGTTTGATGAGGTAAGCACTAATTTAATTTCAGCTATTTGATAGAGACCTATATTGCTCACTATTTGATTTCATTTCATGAGTCCCCCTAACATTGTGTTTGGAATAGCAGGTTTTTGATGGTTTTAAAATCGAATTTATGGTAATAATAAATATTATTTTTACTCTCATGAAAAATAATCAATTTCATGGTATTTGAAAATTACCAAATAGACTTTGCAATATGTCCAACTCTGATTCTCTTTTAGTTTTCTAAATTTCAAAATTATTGTAAATGCATAAATGAGATTTCATTTGATTTCCTTTTCTTTACTGAAATCCCAATCCTAAAGATTCTGATTATATACTTTAAAAATAATAGTAGCCCATTATATATTTATTGACATTCATCCTCACAAAGAATAGTTTTCACGGGTCTTATGTAATTTTTTAGTTGTTACTTAACAATGTACTAGAACCAAATTCTTTAACTTTTGGTTGCTTGTCAGATTCGCCCTTCACTAGAAAGAGAGTGGTCCTTGGCAGAAGACGAAGAGATTATAATGCCTCAAATAGAGGTGGATGTACTGACTGCAAAATTAGAGACACTAAAAACAAAATTGGATGAACTTAAGGAGAAACGTGCACAACATATTAGTGACTACCAAGTTTGTAAGTTGTTTTATACTTGGTTGTATTAGAAAAAGTTATCATGTTTATTATTGGGTCATGTGAAGTGTTTTTATTCACATCATGATTTGAGAATGGTCCTTGGCTAGTAGACTTGATGATGAGAATGATGCAGGGGTAGTGGAAATGGAGATTAAAAAGGCGTTTTTAAGTGCCACAATAGATGATCTTGCCATTGCTAAAGTAGATGAAGAAATTATAATGCTTCAAGCAGAGGTAGATCCACTGACAGCAAAATTGGAGACATTAACAACAAAATTGGATGAACTTAAAGAGAAACGTGCACAACATATTAAAAACTACCAAGTTGGTAAGTTGTTTTGTACTTGGTTGTATTAAAAAATGTTATCATGTTTATTATTGGGCATGTGGAGTTTGATTAATATCTAATATAATTTGAGAATACTCCTTTAGCTAGTAGACTTGATGATAGGAATGATGCAGGGGTACTGGAAGTAGAGATTAAAAAACCATCAACATCAACATCTGCAATTGCTAAAGCAGATGAAGAGATTATAATGCTTCAAGCAGATGTAGATGCACTGAAAGCAACGGTAACAACAAAAGCGGATTACCTTAAAATGAGACTTGAGCAGCATATTGGTAGGTACCAAGTTTGTAAGTTGTTTTACGATCACTACTAGTTTTCATCTTGGTCATTGGGCATGTGGGGTGTCAATAATATGTAACATGATGAGTTGGAAGAAATTGATGTTTCAAGTGTTTCCAAGTGTTGTGTTAGCTTACTTTAACCAAAGATTCATAAATTTATTAGATTTAGCTATTATCAAAATTTTGATAACGAGGAAAGCATAATTTATTCTGAATTTTATTTCACTTGCAACGACTATTTCCCCAACTTAGAGGACCTTACCGTCTGAATCATCCTTCATATATGCTTCCCTCTCTCCTCTCTATTATATATCATTTTTTAGACAAAATAGGATGTCTAGTGAAAATCTCTCTCCTCTCTATTATATATCATTTTTTAGACAAAATAGGATGTCTAGTGAAAATCTCTAACTTGGTCGGAACAAAAGATGGTTAAATTATTCTTTAGTGAACATGGCGTGCTGAAATTTGTTGGTTTAGTATTCTTCGTATAGATTTGAGGAGAGCAATTTGCTTGGATGTGTGTACACATCTCAGTGACATGGACTCTCCTATTTCTCTTCGTATACATGTGTCGTACAAGTACAAAATATGCGTCGGCAGTCGAAACCAAATTGGAAACTTCAATCATTGACATGACATGATTGAAAAAGAAGAAAACTCAATTTTAATAGTAGAGATGAGTTTCCTAAAATCAAAATAGATGGAAACCTTTTTCTTTTTATGCAGACTAGAGTACTTTGCCGGAAATTGGAGAGTACATTTAACATTACGCGGTTCAAGAATTATTACTCATACACTTGAGAGAAAAAAAAAAAAAAAAATGAAGTAAATATAAAAATAAATGGAACCTTCAATGTCCAACTTATTATTATATAGAATGCATGCCATATGTTGTTCATGTTCATTGCACCATCTGTGAGACACACCTACAATTAATGAATTTTCAAAAATAAACATGAAGTGATATAATATTGAATTAATTGCTTTCTGAAGCCATATATGTAATGCAAAATTATGTTTTTGACTCTATTGACGTTTCTTAGATGGTATACCTTCAATTGGCACAAAGTTATCTTTGGATGTTCTTGACGAGTCTGATGAGGTGGTTGATTTGGATGTTCTTGGCGACTCTGATGAGGTGGTTGAAGAAGACTCTAGTGTGGAAAGTGAAGAAGATCAAGAGAGTGATACCACCCTAGTTGAGCTAGATAAAAAAATAAAGGCAATAACAGAGAAGTTGAAGGCACTAAAAAAAAAACATGCACGTCATCTCTCAGGTCTTCAGCACAGGATCCACAGCACCGTCTAACTGGGGTTTCAGCATTGAGTGTCACCCTGCTAGGGGTCTCTGCTGTGATGTTAGATACGAGACATTTTGGTAGTTATGTTGAGAAGTTGTGTGTGTTGTTTATGTGCATCTTTTTGAGTACTTTAGCAAATCAACATGTTGTTGGTACTCAGCATAGAACCATAATTACCATTTCAACAGTAAGCCCTTGGGGATCTACAGCACCGTCTTGACTTTGGTATTTTGACTTTGAGTTTAGATGCTCCCTGTTCGAAATTTATGAATGAAAGATTGTATATATGTGTGTGTATCACCTGATGCATATTTTCTTATTTGTTTTGTGTTTGTGCTATTGATATGAAGAAGATGTATCTGTCAAAGGTTTAAACCTACTGTTAATCAGAAGTGATTGTGTATTTTTCTCATCAATTAAGGGCTTTTGCATCACAACAGAAACAGGACTATTGTAAATAATTGCATAGATTAATGCTTTTGCACTAATCTGCAAATTTTAGGAATTTTTTGCAATAAAATTTCTCTTACAAACCAAACTTTTTTCTAAAAGGAAAATGTTGACACCTATTTTGGTAATTGGATTTGGGGTCCAATTGGGCTTGGTGAACAGGGACATAGTAATATGGGTCAAGAATGTAAGGCTTGATGAATGATGATGTTTTAGAGCTTGGGCCGTACAAACATTGGGCTGAAGAGTATTACAATTGGGCTAGATATATAGTGGCATGGTTTGGTTGGTGAGGAGAGGTCTGATTGGGTATATGGAGTATATGGGCCAAACTACATGGTTCGGCTTTGACTGAAGGAAGTGTTGACAACTCTACATGGAATTTGAATGGCATGCAAAGACTTATTTTGAATTAGATGATAGATAGAGTTTGTAATTTTTGTTTTATCTTTTATTTAGGTGCAGTTAAGTTTTAAGGTTATCTGTAGTTTAATTTAATTTGAATTGTCGCATAGTTGTGATTAGAATTTTACTGCAAGTAGGATGCTTGTATGTAGGGTTTAGTTGTTATGATTTATTCTATAAATAATCAAAGAGGCACACTAGACTAGAGGTCCAACACCTTCAGAATCCTTTAATTTATTTATTTGCTTTTTCAAGCTCTTCCTAGAATAGCTTTCTTGCTATTTCTTTCTATCTCTATCTCTCTCAATATTTCGTTTTATCTCTTTCTCTCTCCCTCTCAATCTTTCTATATTTACTTCGTCCCCTTTCTATTCTCTCAACTATTACTATTAATTATTTACTGTAAAGTCCTTTTAATTAAGACAAGTAGAACTCATTAAGGAGTTTATTTGTTATCTTTCTCCTATAATTGCCTGAAGTCAACTATCTCTAAGAGACTGCAAGTTGACAATTCACATTCGGACCATATATTTGGTTCTGGCACGTCCGCAAAATCATCAATTTAAGATCGGCTCCAGTCCGCCGATTTTAGCTTCAACATTTTTAGCACGCCCGGTGGGACCCCATTAGGTGAGTAATTATAGCAAATATGCCTCCCGAGCTAAGAGGTTCAAAAGGTGTGACTACAGGTGACAATACTGACGAAGAGAACCAGTAAATCGGCGTTGGTGATGATACTGATTCTTCTATTCCGTCCGACGTTCCTTTGGGCCAGGTATTGGAATCGATTATGTAGAAAATTGATGCCCAACAAGCACAGATCGGTGAGGTAAGGTCCTAAATGGGGGAATCAAATCAAATTTCAGTTTATTATATACATGAGATGAGGTCAATGATCGGGGAGTTAAATAAAACGATGTATGCTCAGATGGAGAAGATGAATTAGAAGCTCGAAACCAGTATATTGGCTAATTAAAGCTGACATAATCAAGCCGAAACATCTCATATTAATGAGTCCATTTTTCAGCGTATGTCGGCACCATTGATACATATATCCCAGGGGCCTCGAACAACGTCAATAGGCATCATACCGCCAAGTACAACACTTGGCATTACAATTGGCAATGTGCCGAATCTTACACTCGGTATGCCGATTGGGAATCCACTAATCTTATCAGATCCGCCGGCAGTAACTGTTTTACGGACGTATCAGTCGCTAGTGAATAATCAACATAATCAAAATGTGCAGCGTCTACATGTGCAGCCAATTCCACCAGTGAGAGATCAGCAAGAAGTGGCGAGAAACCTAAACCAAGGTAGGGCTAATCTATTGATACCTCCGGCGGTTGCCGGGGGGGCAAGTAAATGCCGATCCACAAAGAGAGTAGGTTAATCCATTCATTCCTCAGCACCTAAATGATCCTCCAAGAAGAAATGCAGGGATCGATAGGGCTCAGATTCTGGCTTTAATACAGGCTGAAGTGGCATAGGGTCGCAGACGTGCTCGGCCGGTATATAGAAAACCTTATCCTGATCATGTTGATGCCCATGAGTTGCCTAGAAATTATCGGTATCCCGATTTTTCTATGTACTGTGGGGAAGAGAATTTTTCTACGGTGCTGCACATTGCGAGGTTCACAGCACAATGTGGGGAAGCATGTCCTAATCCTTGGTTGAGGATGAGGTTATTCTCTAGCTCTCTTGTTGGGGCGGCATTTGAATGGTATAGTAATTTACCAGCAAACTCTATCCAGACATGGGATGAAATGGAAGAAGCCTTTCATACTTAATTCTACTGAACAGAGACAGAAGCTACGTTAGCAGACATATCTTGACTATCTCAGTTGCCGAGCGAATCGGTTGAAACTTTTGTTTGTAGGTTCAAAAAAGCTAAACTCAAATGCCGAGTAAGTTTACCAGAACCAGAATATATCAAGTTGGCATTAAATGGTTTAGACATTGAACAACGCAAGAGGTTTGATGGGGTTGAGTTTCAAGATCTCTTCGATTTAGCAAACAGGGCTTCTAGGTATGAGGAGATACTTAAAGAAGAGAAAGAGAGGAAGAATTCCTCTAAGGGTACTTATTATAAGGACCCTAATTATGAGGTATTCTCGGCAGAAGTTGGAGATGAGTTGGAAGTTGACGTTGCAGAGGTCAATATCAAGAAGCCATACATCTGTGAGGCATTGGTTAAGCCTAAGTCGACCACGGGGGGTAATGCAACTTCAGTATCAACTTCGACAGTAAGGAAATGAGTTGCCGATACCGGGAAAAGCTATTCTTTTGATTTGTCAAAAACAAATCAAATTTTTGATCACTTGATGGTCGATAAAATGATATCTTTGCTTCAGGGGCATAAGATTCCATCGGCAAGTGACTTGAAAGGAAAAGAGTATTGTAAGTATCATAACTCTTGGAACCATGCTACTAATGATTGTACTGTTCTACGAGGTGTATTGCAGAAAGCTATTGACGAAGGTACTTTAAAATTCTCGGAGAAAACTTCAGAGACCATGAAGGTGGATACCAATCCATTCCCAACAATCACATCTATAAATGTGATAAACTTAGTCAAGCGAGGGAATCGGCAAGAGACAAAGAAGATGTCAGGCGAGTTCCTTTCATCAAATGTGACACCTGAAAAGATGGCAGAACTGCAGAGACAATTAAAAGAGGCTCAATTGGCTTTGATCGACCATGGATGTTGCCCAAATTGTAAGGGGAAGCAAAAACCAAAGGAGCTGATAGAAGAGCCAACAGAGGTTCAACCAAAGAAGAAAGGAATTCTTGAGAGGCTTATTTTCCCAATTAAGCCTGGGGAAGAGCCACGACAGGATGATCCCAGCGGCAGTCATTTGAAGGCAGAAAAACAGAATCAGTAAGAATATATATCTAGCCGATTTCATTACCCGAATTGGCAACTTAGTTTTAAAAAGCGGTCGCCAGTTCAATAAAAAATTTGGGTACAAAAAGGAGCCAATTCATATAAAGTACGAATTGTGAAACCAAGGACAGACCTAGCAGAAGACAGATGGACTCGAGTCAATCACCCAAAATTCCCCAAGGTTCAAATAAATCAGAGTGGAGGCCTTACTCGATCTCAGAAACGTAGGGAACAAAGGAGAAGGGCCGAGGAAAAAAGGAAGGCTGAAGAGGTAAGCAAAGAAGAGTCAGCTGAGGAAGTTAGTATTCCAGACACAGAGCAACCGGATGAGGTAGAACAGCATCAGCCGACTTGGCCTAGACTCAAAAATGAGTTCAGAATTCAATTTGGCAGTTTCCCAGATGAAATGTCATGTAATATGGCGTTTGTATTACCAGCAATGTTCTAGGCCCCATCGGCATCAAATGCAAGTGCTGAAAATAGGAAGGAAACAAAAGATGGAAGTAGAACCAAAGAGAAAAGAACTCAGCCGAGTCAGAATTTATCGAGTCTTTCTTTAGAATTGGTAGAAAATGTAGTCTTTGAGAAACCTTTGTTAGCCATCACACAGCAACTAAGACCTTTGTATGTTAAAGTATGGGTAGAGGGCCAACCTATTAATCGAGTATTGGTTGACAACGGCTCGGTCCTGAATGTTATTCCAGTTAATACTCTGAAGAAACTCGGTAAGTAGCAATTTGTGGGTTTAATGGAGGTTCTACTAGTACTAAAGGGATTCTTCCTTTAGAAGTCGAAGGTTTACATCATTTCTTCAAACCAGTGGCCAGTGCCTTAAAACAAATAAAAATTCTGCTAAAGACTGGGTTCACATACAAATTCTCCCTAAACCTTTTAATTTTAGCCAAGCTTCCTGGATTTGTTTTATCAATTTCATTTGCATAAGCTGGAAGTAATGTGTGGATTTGTTTTATCAATTTCATTTGCATAAGCTGGAAGTAATGTGTAAGCTTCAGCATGATTACCCCCAATTTCCTATAGTGCCTTCCTCTTTGCCCTATACAACTGCATTCTACTAGGTTCAATTCCATATTGTGTCTTTATTGTAGCTCCCAAAGATGCTATTTGAATCTCAGGATTCTCTCTTATCCTATCTGCAAACTTCATAGCAATCCATGTTGTTGTTGTTGGTTCCCTAGAAGTGCTCTCATTCACACAAGTATGCTCTTTGTTTATTGTTTTAATCTGATAGGTGATTTTATCAAAGAGAGGTGATGCATGTATCATCCATGTGCAGCTTGTAGCAGCACAATAACATCTCATTCTATCTTTTTCATTTATTTATTTATTTTTTATTTTTGTAACCATTTTAAAACACTCTTGAATTGCATAATCCCTCAACACTTCCCTAAATTTCTTAATATTGTCAAATAGGTGACCTTTCACTAGCTCTATCTTTTATCCTGGAACTCTATGAAATTCTATCCCAAACAAACATTGATCAAAGGCTTTACCCTTAGCCCTATCTTCTTTATCAGTATCACCCAATATTTCAATACTTGATTCTAATCCACATTCATCCCCTAACCCATAATTTGACAAACCATCATCACTACTTATTTGAACTCCCCCCATGGTACCTTCATCTATTAGTCCACTATCACTAAAATACCCTTCATTTTCATCTCCC